CTAAAGAAGGTTGGTGGTGGGCTTCGCCAATGGAAAAGAGTGTACACAATCCTACGCGCTCACCATCTCTTTTTGCACAAGGAGCGCCCAGAGTCACAGGGCCTGGGGCTAGGTGAGGAGGATCAGCCAATCAGCATCATTGGAAGCCTGGTGGACATCTCTTACAGCGAGACTAAGAGGAAGCACGTTTTCCGGCTTACGACACCTGATTTTTGTGAATATCTCTTTCAAGCTGAGGATCGAGATGACATGTTGAGCTGGGTCAAAGCTATCAGAGAGAACAGCAGAACTGAAGGGGAGGTAAGATTTTGGTATCTAAAGTTAGCAGGTGGAAGAACATAAAGAGAAAAACACTACTGTAATTTTAGGCGGAGGAAGTAGAAGCTCTATGTTTTAATGAAGTTTGATGTTTAATGTGAATACTGTGTATGCTAGTTTGTTTTGCTCCCAAGGACGAACCCCCCCCAAATATGAAGCTTATCCCAAGGACAAGCCCAAATGTAATGTTTGGCAAAACCTTTATATTTGTTGTCTGATTCTTGCAGTAAATGTCAAGGAAACTGACAAGTAGCATTTAAAGTACTTTACTAGGCAAAAATGCTACATGCACAAACTTAGTTACAGGAAAATGAAGACAAAACGAACATACAGGCTGCTACAAGCAAACATACAGATGCACCCACTACACTATCCTTTCTACTACATGTAATGGTTTCTAAGAGAGGATACACTTAAATGTACTTAGCTTCCAGTTGCAAATTCTGTAAATTCCGTAAAGAACAGGACTGCTTGGCAATTAAGCTTTCACAGGAAAATGGCTCCCGGTTGCAGTCTCTCTCTCAAAGTCCTTTGTTTCAGAGTTCCATGGCGAGTTCTCTCTGGGTCAGAGTGACATCCTCTTTTAACCAGTTGAAGACCAGATGTTTACACCCCCTTCCTAGCCAGGCCATTTTTCAGTATTCAGTGCTGCGGTTCTTTGACTGATGTTTATTTCGTCATGCAACGCTGTACTGAAATGAATTTTATACAATTTTTGGGGGACAGATAGAGCTTTCTTTTGGTGGTATTTAATCACCACTGGGGTTTTTATTTTTTACTATATAACAAAAAAGTAACCTAAATTTTGAAAAAAAAACCCCCTTGAAATGTTTAGACACCTGATTTTTGTGAATATCTCTTTCAAGCTGAGGATCGAGATGACATGTTGAGCTGGGTCAAAGCTATCAGAGAGAACAGCAGAACTGAAGGGGAGGTAAGATTTTGGTATCTAAAGTTAGCAGGTGGAAGAACATAAAGAGAAAAACACTACTGTAATTTTAGGCGGAGGAAGTAGAAGCTCTATGTTTTAATGAAGTTTGATGTTTAATGTGAATACTGTGTATGCTAGTTTGTTTTGCTCCCAAGGACGAACCCCCCCCAAATATGAAGCTTATCCCAAGGACAAGCCCAAATGTAATGTTTGGCAAAACCTTTATATTTGTTGTCTGATTCTTGCAGTAAATGTCAAGGAAACTGACAAGTAGCATTTAAAGTACTTTACTAGGCAAAAATGCTACATGCACAAACTTAGTTACAGGAAAATGAAGACAAAACGAACATACAGGCTGCTACAAGCAAACATACAGATGCACCCACTACACTATCCTTTCTACTACATGTAATGGTTTCTAAGAGAGGATACACTTAAATGTACTTAGCTTCCAGTTGCAAATTCTGTAAATTCCGTAAAGAACAGGACTGCTTGGCAATTAAGCTTTCACAGGAAAATGGCTCCCGGTTGCAGTCTCTCTCTCAAAGTCCTTTGTTTCAGAGTTCCATGGCGAGTTCTCTCTGGGTCAGAGTGACATCCTCTTTTAACCAGTTGAAGACCAGATGTTTACACCCCCTTCCTAGCCAGGCCATTTTTCAGTATTCAGTGCTGCGGTTCTTTGACTGATGTTTATTTCGTCATGCAACGCTGTACTGAAATGAATTTTATACAATTTTTGGGGGACAGATAGAGCTTTCTTTTGGTGGTATTTAATCACCACTGGGGTTTTTATTTTTTACTATATAACAAAAAAGTAACCTAAATTTTGAAAAAAAAACCCCCTTGAAATGTTTCCCTATGAAATGTTATGAAACATTTATTATCACCCCATTTTGTTTAAATATAAAAGACGGGGTCACGTCAGGTAAATAGACACCAAACATGTCAACCTTTAAAATTGTGCGCACCCTTGAAATCGCAGAAACCGACCACACCCAAAATTCAAATTAACAGGTCCTCTTTATGGAGACATCCGGGGTCTCCAAGCCCCCTAATGTCACCTGGGGACCCCCAGGGAAGCTGATGAAGCAGAGATCTGCTTTATCAGCTTCTCACCAGCATCTGTAACCGGAGAGTGACACTGAATGCTGGAAGTGATGTAATCAAAAGCGCATTCGGGGACCAGAGAGCAGATCAAAGGGAGATTGTCTACTAATCACCCTTTGATCTCTACTGAGAGCGTCACCGTGCTGGTCCCAGCCGCACCGGGCACAGCGGATCTCAGGACCGGCAGCAGTGGCGGCGGTGGGGGGGGGGGGGGC